AAAAAAAAAAAAAAAAAAAAAAAAAAAAAAACGACGAAAACTTTAACAGTTGCACAACTGAAACAGATCAGCTTGCGATAATTTCTAAGAATGTCGTAAGACACTCACCAATACAAGTAAAAAAACAAGCAAAAAATCGTTATTGTTATTACAAATAACCCTTAACAAAATAATTAAAACACTCGCACTACTGAGTGGCAACTAAACTTTAGCTTCAACCAGCAAACAATCTTCGCAAAAGATATGATTGAGGAACGCTTTTCGTTAAGCACATTTTCGAAGGAAACTGGCAGAAATTTATGCATTTTGTTCTTTGATGCACTACCTATGATACTCCCAAGTCGTTTTCTTCTTAACAACAGTTTTATGCGCAATTTCTCATAGCGAACTGCACTGGTAACAGTTTCCAGAGGTTGTTCAAAATCAAAGTGAATGAACTGACTAGTTCTACTAAAAAAAATTCCAGTTTTTCAAATTTACATTATTTTTACAACCCACTAAAACTTTCTCTGACTTCCGCATTTTCGATTGCAGGATTATGTTTATCTTCTTTCTTTTTTTTTTTCAGTAAAAAAGGTCTAGTTATTAGATGCCATATCCAGAATTCGTGTCACAGCCCTGCTTGCTCAGTTGTTTATAAATACTTCACAGATAAAACGTCAAAACTGTAGCTTCTAAAGTATGACAGACATGGAGTAACAGCAATTATAAACTGATAAATTGATAAAACTGATACAGTGCTACTATTTAAAAACTGAGTCATTAGTACTGAATTAACTTTGCTTTCGACAATAAGTGAGGTGACAACTCAATAATAACCAGGGTTTAGACTGGAAAGGTAACTTAAAGCGCCGAAAAATCAGACAAAAAAATTGTCTTATTTTAAGAGGATCAAATGTGAACATTTTGAATTTTTATTTTTAGGAGTGGATGACTCATGCAATGACAGGTTCTTAAGAAAGCGGTGAAAAAACAAAATAAAACTAGAAACTTCTTTTAGAAAAGCTGAGGAAAATTTCAAGAATCACTTGCGCAAAGAACTCTTGACAAACAGACTGAAATTTTCACAAACGAACTTAATGCTTTTAGTTGAAAGTTTTGGCCAACTGGTAACCCACCCAATCACTATGATAAGCATTTTTTTAGAGCGCATACAAGAAAGCATTTCAATACTGAATTGTTAAAAATACCACCTGACAATCACAAAAATACCATTACGAAATTTCACCGCGATATGTACTAAAATAGTGCTTGTAAATAACACTTACTATTAATGATCAAGTTTGGAGCGACAACATAGAACATCGTCCACCAACACTTTAGTTCCAGCTTTTTTAAGGGAATTTTTCATCCTCTCCTCCAGCTCTTTCTTCTATTCCTACTTATGCCCAAAGAAGGCGATAACATTGGTCAACTGAATTCATGTTCAGTCTCAAAATGATCAATCTAGCTGTCATTTGCTGGCTTTAAAATTATTTAGAATTGTAAAAAATAAATTTTTAATTGCTGGCTGTAATCGCATCTTGACTTTATTCACCGAACAGCAACCATGAATAACAGAAATAAAACTGTTCACTTTTTTGAACAGACTAGAACCACGTCATCGCGAAAGGTGTTTTTTTGTGCCTCTTTGACAGCTTTCCCTTCTAAGCGGCTGGCAAACAACCAACATGAAAATTTAGAAAAGCATTACTTGTATATGATACATTATGTAGTATTAACAGTGGCTACGATACCCGTTCGTCGTTACAGTTATATGAAGATGAATAGTGAATTTATATGTTTTTTTGTGGCATCATGCAGCCAATAGTAGATAACAAGTAGATCGAGTTAGACAATTAGAAATAAGACTTCAGCGTCAAGTACAAACACTATAGTTTGAAAGTAAATTTTAATGGTAGTAAGCATCATGAATTACGTTTTTTTACAATGCAAAACGGCTTTTATACGAAACACAAAATTTATATTTAGTTCGACAGGCCGACTAAAATTGACCGAGTTTACTGCGAATGAAGCCAGAAAGACGGCACTATATAAACTGCTTTGTAACAGTTTTACTGAATTAGAATTAAAAATGCAAAAAAAAACTTGTAATGATCTTTGAAATAAAAAATTAGAAAAGACAGATCATTAACCATATCATCTCAAAAGAAATAC